GTTACCTCACAGGTGGTCCCATTCTAATTTGGTTTAAATCCGATCATTGGATCAATAAAAAAATAAATATAATCTTATATATAATATAATCTTAAAGTTTTATATGAGAATTGAAGTCGGTTTTGTTTTTGCTTAAAAATTACTTGTGGCATGTTTGTTTATTTAATTGCTGACACATTTTTGGGATTTCCTAATCGGTGCGTGTGGTCCAACCCACTTAAGCTAAGCTGCTTAAATTTTCAAATTGAAAAGTCCACTTACAAAAACACATACATACATACATATATGTAAACATACGTGTTATATAAATATGTATATATACATAAGTATTTACTGGCAACAAAATTAAAAATATATTTAACTGACTTCTAACCGGCCATCCAAAGAGCTTTTATCAGCAATTTTATTGCTGCTATATTTATGTACATACGTCTGTTATATGTTTTATACTTATACATATATACTTTCCCATGTGGTTTGCCCCGCATCTCCAATTAGGCAATACACAACATAAGAAGACAACCTTTTACCCTTAATTTCGCGAATGTGTTCACTCGTGTGTGGGTCTATTGTTATATTTGATCTTATTTTTATTTTTAGATAAACAGTTAAGGGTTTGAAGCAGTCATACGAAATAATGTTTTTTTTTTTGCTATTATTCCTGCTTTTATTCACTTTTAGATAAGAGCACACATTGTTTGTAGTGCAATGAAATTTATAATAAAAATATTTTGTGAATAAAATATCCTTACAACTGTTAATACACAAATATGTATGCACATACTTACATACGCATATATTAGGGTGGTCCAAAAATGCATGTGAAAAAGTAAAGTCGGAATTTTAATGCTCTGACCCCCTACTATTGTTCTATACCGAAAAAACACACGCCTGTATTTTCATTTTGAAATCATAAAATATTTAGAGATCGCTCAAAGCGCTCAAGATTTTTCATTTACATGGGGCAAAAAAAAAGTTTGCATAGAAATAGTAGAGGGCTCTGGGAAATCATAATTTTCGATCGGAAAATTTTGTTTCTCTTCAGCAGACAGCCGAAATAATAATAGCCAATGGTTTATTATAGCGTTTTTTCAATACTATTTAGTGATTTTTTATAGGACCCTCAGGGCATTTTTTGAGGTTTTTAGAGGTCCTAGAAAAAATAGTTAATAATCGGAAGTAGTTAAATAAACAATTTGGTATTATTCTTCTTAGTCCCCTGAAGGGCACCAGAGTTTTCCCATCGAAAAATATAGATTTTCTTTAATTCTATAACATTTCTACGAAAAGTTTTTTTTTTTCATATAAAATACATGGAAAACTTTGACCGCTTAGAGCGACCTCTAGGTTAAAAAAAAACATGGGTATATTTTTTCCGTATAGAAAAATCCTATAGGGTGTGAGCATTAAAATTCCGACTTTACTTTTTTTTGCACCATCCTAATGTACATACATATATAGTTTATGTACATCTGACTTACATTGGTACGAAGTTGGCTTTCAAGCCAACTAATATTGAATATTTTTCTACGTACATATGTATATATGTACTATGTATGTATGCACATATATATGTATGTCTAGTGCATTGTGCTCCCCTGTGATGACTTTCGTTATTTTGCGATCCAATTTAATTTCGTAACAAGCAGTTTTTTTAACAACATTGGCTTCAACTACCATTATGAATATGTTTGTGAATATGTTTGAATATGAAATTCAAGGGAAATTTTCCATCTCAGTTAATTCATCTGAAATTCTTTTTTTTAATTTCTCTTATGTTAAGATTATAATCAAAACGTTGGGCACAAATAAGTACATATATAATTTTTGTTTAAAGTCTACAAAAAAACTTAGCTTTACTCGCAGTGTCTTGTTAAAGTCTTTATTCTACTTTTTTGCAACTCGAGTGCGTAATAAATTTGATTTTTATTTTTGTAATGATGCAATGTCATCTTTTGTCTGAACGCTTCCGTTCCCAACACTAGGGTTAACGCAACAAAATTCGACATCGATTAATTTCGATAGCTGTACGTTTCTAGAGCTTTATACAGCTGTCGAATTTTGTTGAGTTCACCCTAGTGTCCAGCGGACACACTAAGGGCCGTTTGCACCATGTCCAGTTAACGCTAAGTTTTTTGTAGGTCGCCATTTTGGATGAACGAATTTTTGTTTTCATTTTCCTGCTGAACTTTTTTTGTGGTTCTTGAGCTTATCTTAGGTCTACGCAAGGCACATTAAACAGGTAGTATCAGTAGAGCAAAAACAACATTTGCGTGTATTTTGTTGTTGCTTCTGGTATCGAAAGTGTCAACAACTGTTCTGAATTTTTTCTTCTAAATCAAAGCGTGCCATGTGAAATACAAAAAATTATAAAAAATAAAAAATTGAAATTGGAAAAAATAAAAATTGATGCAACTTTCTTTCCTAGTAAATTTGTTTGCTTCTCGAAGCATTGATCCATCCTTTGCAAGGCCCAGTAATCAGCGGTCGTGCTGCCGAGTTGGGCGAACGTTCCAAAAGCTGCTATTCAATCGCTTGTTTTGTATGGAAAAAGGTTTCACAAGCAAATGGATTTTAACAACTTATAATTTTCGTGAAAAAAAATTTAAAATATTTGACATTTTCCNGTTTCACAAGCAAATGGATTTTAACAACTTATAATTTTCGTGAAAAAAAAATTTAAAATATTTGACATTTTCCAGACCAAAAAATTTGAAAATAAATCAAATCAGCTGCTCTACTGATACTACCTGTTCAATGTACCTTGGGTCTACGTTTGTTGCTTTAATTGTCAACACTACAAGTTTTTTTTGGATTTCTAGGATCAGACAAGATTAACCCTGAAAATGTGATCGAAAAAATAAAAATCATAAAATAACGATTAAAAATTATCGTTATTATATAAATCGAAAAATAACGATTATGCAATGATTTTTAAATTAAAATCCTTAATGATAACGATTATTTTTGGTCCCTAAAAAAAATATATATATAACTACTTGTGTTATGTACTTCAATATTTTAATTTTTATGTTATTCATTTACAGATATTACAAATAATTTTTTAGTGATGAGCGCAAACATTGATTAAAAGTGGTGAATATTTGTGAAGAACAAATATGACAACGCTTCTTTCTTTTTGGGAGAGGTTCAAGTGATTGCGAAGATGATCCTTGATCTAATCCAACCAATCGTTGTATGGCTGCTAAGTGTTAATTTGGCAGTCCTTTAAATATATGTAAATATTAAACTAGTGTTGATAAAATTATTTTAGTATCATTTTTATGTGCATAAAACCGTGGTAATAGATTAGATAAAATCTGTTTTCGAAAAGATAAATACTTTATGTTTTATACGTAAACGACCTTAAAAATGTGTTTATTGTTTTCGAAATTCATTGAATTATGGATAAGTATCAAACTATCGGAATTTTTCGACAATCTGGTATGTATCGGGTATATTCAAGTCCTGCCAAAGTCCCCCAAAGACTTCAAAGATATACAAAAAATTAAGTCGCGTTTTAGTTCCACAGCAGGAGATTTCCCGGTAAGTAATTTTGTACAAGTTAAATAAAGTGCTAAGTTAAAAACCTCCGCAAGGATCTTAAAAAACTGGAAGAACGGTCGAGTTTCGGCAGTGACTTGCATTCCTAGTAAGAATTAATTGCTGGTAGCAATTAACAATTATTANTAAAGTGCTAAGTTAAAAACCTCTGCAAGGATCTTAAAAAACTGGAAGAATGGTCGAGTTTCAGCAGTGACTTGCATTCCTAGTAAGAATTAATTGCTGGTAGCAATTAACAATTATTAACATATTAATTGTTGAAATCATTGTGTGAATTTTATTAAAAATTAACGATTAAATATGTGTACTATATAGGCCTGGGAAATGGATTTGATAGCCGTGCACTTCCGAGGTCTGTGCCGTATTTTTAATTTTCTTTATAAGCAGGTTCATTGTTATCAAAAAAGTGATTGCAATTAAATTAATTGCCGTGTGCAGTNTAAAGTGCTAAGTTAAAAACCTCCGCAAGGATCTTAAAAAACTGGAAGAACGGTCGAGTTTCGGCAGTGACTTGCATTCCTAGTAAGAATTAATTGCTGGTAGCAATTAACAATTATTAACATATTAATTGTTGAAATCATTGTGTGAATTTTATTAAAAATTAACGAATAAATATGTGTACTATATAGGCCTGGGAAATGGATTTGATAGCCGTGCACTTCCGAGGTCTGTGCCGTATTTTTAATTTTCTTTATAAGTAGGTTCATTGTTATCAAAAAAGTAATTGCAATTAAATTAATTGCCGTGTGCAGCTAAAGTTTGATTGCAACTAAAATTTTCATTGCAATTAATTGAACTGCAATACGCCATTAAAAGTTTAATTGCAATGACGTTTTTAATCAATCAACAAGAACAAATTTAAGTATAAATATAATTTCTTCCCTAGATCGTGCACAAAATTTTTATATTCCAAATTTCCGCTCCCATGAAGAAATAAAATGTGCATAATTAAAATACTAAGTAACCTCACCTTAATGAAAACCGTTACTAGTTACTTTAATTTCTTTCGTCTGTTTTTTGTTTTTTGTGGTTTGTTTTTTTTTTTTTGTTACAGATTCTCTTCTCAGCATTTTGTGTATTTGGCGCGCAGGCAAAATCCTTCATCAATTCCCAGCGTTTCCAATGTTATTTCAATTATTTGTTTATTTGTACCTCAATGTCTCCACATCTAAATATGCCCATCGCACAGTCCACACTAATGGATTCTAAGGCATTTTGCATCCGCTTAAACACGCACAGATTACCTACAACGTTGGAAATGGTAGAAGAAGCGATTCTAACGCTTAACACCGCACGCGGCATCTCACTGCAGAAGTTGAAGAAGTACATTATCGAAAAGTATCAGATTGAAATGAGCGCCAAACGCTATACCATGATGAAGGCACATTTGTATACACTATTTTCCAAGGGGACGCTTATGACAGTAACTGGAAGGGGATTGTCGGGTAGTTTCAAAATACAGAAAAGGATTAGTGGTTCATTAGTAAAAAAGAAATCGATTGGTGCCAGGAATACGGATGGACACATCGGCGCACGTCAACGTAAAATAGGAGTTAGCAAAGCAAAAAGCAATAAATCAAAGAAAAAGAAAAATGTGACACCAGCCAACCTAACTGAAACGCCACCTAACTATGTGACACACTTGATGGCTCCTCATGCACCGCAACGCAACTCCTCGGCGACAGATCTCAGTCATGTTGAACAAGTAGGGGGCACACCTCGTAGCGCTGGTACGCGTGTAGGACGTAAACGAAGACTTGCGTCGGTCCAGGAACCGATTGCGGCATCACAAGAATTTTAAGAAAACGCAGTACTCCGTAAACTCAAGCATTGAGTTTTTAAATGCAGAAAGGTAGTCGCTGTTGCAACATTCAGTATGAAGCAGGTCTTCATATTTCATATGTTCATGTGCATAGATACACACATATGTATGTGTGTGGGTACGACGTATGTATGCATAGATTCGGTTTTTTTTTCTAATAAAAAAAATTTCAATCTTTTGTTAGTATAATAACTTAAAAACTATTTATTATAAGTTATGTCGAAAGAACATCTACAGCAGCAATGTTGTTAGCTAGACCAGATAGGTACCTAATTGAATTTGAAATATATGATTTAGAAAAAAAAATAATTAAATAAATCATACCTTTAAAGATGTGTCTACTTACTAACCTTGGAATAAAAGGTTTAAACTAGATACTATTGATTCATCCGAGTTTTAGCATTTCATGCTAAATTCGCTTAGCAATCATTTAATAAATATTCCTTAGCAGAAATATGTGCTTAATTTTAAATTCGGTTTAAAAATTTCATTACTCATTCATTACCATTTCGGCAAATCTTGTAGTCTGGCGCTTGACGAAATCGTAATTCGCAAAACATCCATTAGTGTACCTTTTTTATTTTCAAAGTGTTACCAAAATTATGTATATTTAGCTTAATTCCATATATTTCTTTAATGAATTTTATAATATTCTTCATGTACTGAATTCATTTATTCTTTAAGTTAGTTTTGGGAGAACCCAATATGTTTTAAAGATAATGCTACGATATCAATAAAGTTTACTTTTTATTATCTTTATTGTTGTTGGCGTTTATTAAGTTTACAATTAAATACGCATTTAATATAAAGTACATTTTAAATTAAAGTAATGCTTGTTTCTTGTTCCGCAGTTCAACTAGTCTTACGCTATACTACCCTTTTTTTAATCAATAGTGGAGATTTTCTCAATTTGATTTAGAATTTATTTGGTAAAGAAACTTGATTCTGTGAAGTAACCCCTTACATATTGCTTCTTTTGAAAATCCGACTGCAAATAAACAATACGAAATCTATTTTTTTAATACTTGGCGCAGTAAAAGTGTGAGAACTATTTGAAAAATAAGAGCAGGTTGGAATAAATCAACCCGTAAAACTGGCCACTGTCCCGACAGTTTTCACACATAATTTTTACATGTATGTACAAGAAAAATGACGACATAAAACCCGATCTTACTATTTGCTCAGACACATTTTACGCGCTAATTACTTTCGCTTCCATATATATTAAAAACTACACAAGTAAAAAAAACAAAAAACAAAAGGAATATTCACACATAACGCATATATGTACGTATGTAGCATGATTGTAGTTTGGTATGAGATTTACTAGAAAAAAGAACTTGTGAGCAACAGACTAAACTAAAAACAAATGCATTTAGCATAGTGTCACGAACATACAGGGATTGGTATTCGTGTTCCTTGTTTTGTTTTCGATTTTTTGCTGAAAAATACAGCTGCACATTCTACTATAAATTTATTTAAAAACATATTTTATTTTTTGGAATTATTGAGTGAAAATGCGATGCATTGCGAATGTTCGCTTTAAGACTGATCCTTGGGTACACGCCGTTTGCGCACGGTCTTCGTCGTAGCTTCCTACAATGAAAATTCAAAAAATATAACCAAAATGCTTCTTACTGGCGTTCATTCAATATCTATACCTCTGCCTCGGCTTCCTCTGCATCATCATCTTGCGAATCCTTCTGATCACTGCTAGCGTTTGCAGCTGCTGCTGTTGGTGTTGGTGTAGCGGTGTCATCACCTGCTTCATCTTTAACATCTAAATCAGACTTTTTAGTTTTAGGACTAGAGTTTTGCGTAGCATTGCTGCTGCTTGCAACAGCCGTTTCGGCGGTGCCACCTGAATTGTCGGCAACGTCGTCAGGTTGCACGGCATCGGTTTTCTTAGCGCCAGCGTCCGAGCTAGACTCCTGCATTATTTAATAAATCGCGTTATTATATGCATTTTAAAAAAGAAAATAAACTCTTAATACACTGAAGACTAGCATGGTATTACCTTCGAGCCGGATTTCTTGAACAAGCGATACAAAGTGAATGATAGCGGTGTGGCTCCTGCAATTACCATTGCTACTCGCCAAACCCAAGAGGCTTCAGTAAAGAAGGTTACAATCTTATTGAAAAAGGTTTCCTACGAATTTTGTGCAGACAGTAACACAGTAATATACAACACACAACATACAAATGAAAAGAGAAAACAGAATGGAAAGCCAAATCAAAAACAATGCGATATTAATATATTTAACTAAATATACAAAATTTTGCCAGCGTGGGTTTTCTACTTCTATGACGAATTAAATTAAGTATTCATTTATTAGACGAAGATATTTTGTATGAGCACCTCTTTAGCACGACCGTATAAGTAAAATACGTAGCAGCCCACAGGTATGAGTAAATATGTGAAATACAATGCCCACCAGCCTGGCTTGTAGTTTATGCGCCTCATTAAACGATGCCAAAGAGTTTTCTTTTTTAAATATTTTTTGGAAAGTTTAGTTAATTGGTCATAATAGAAGATATCGCGCTTAGGCTAGTACATATTCTCAAATGGTAGTTGAATAACCTTTTTTTATTCAATGCTATCTATTTATTGGTGCACTTACCGATTCCTTATCGATGTATTTGCGCTTGATATCAAAAGTCTTGGCGGCAAAGTCTCTAGCCAATTCAATATCATCAACGATGATCAAGTTGTCAAACAAAATATTGTCAGACATCGACCAAAGCTCAAGCCCCACAGCGGACTAAATGAAAATCAGAATAGCAGAAAAGGTTAATTTAGTCAGCATCGACATATGCAATCAGAAATAAATTAGTTATTTGCACTTACAATGGGCGTCATTTTGAAAGGCGTGAGATCTTCGAAGAAATCAGGATTGGGTATTTTACGTGCAGCCCATTTGCCTTGATAATTTGGATTGTCGATGAGCGGTGCGCGCCATTTTCCCTTGTATTCTTTGTTTTGAATTAGAGGTGCTTTCCACTCACCACAGCCTGTCGCTTTTTCACAAACTGGATTGTCAATCAATGGCGCTTCCCATTCTCCATCCATTTCGGTATCCCAGTCAGCTGGCTTGGCGGCGGTTGGATCTGAGGAAAGGTTTAAAATTTGGTATATTTAAAAATTTAATACAGAAGACCCATTTCCAAGTTTTTGGCTTAATTCAACTTACCTGGTATCATCTGGGGTTCATCTTCAAGCCAACCATCTGGCATAACTGCACTAGGATCGGGAATTTGTGGTGGTGCATCGTCATCCCAGTCTTCAGGTTTTTTGGCTGTTGGGTCTGGTATCTAAAACATAAAGGCACAATATTGCTGTTATTGCGGTGAAAATCTAAAATTGAACAACTACCTACCTTTTCACGTTCATCCCAGTCCTTTGGTTTTTTGTCTTCTGGATCGTCAATCTCACGTGGTGGGTTAACTGGCGGAGTGAATTCGGAGAGAAGAGATCCCTGATTGACTATCTTATTATCAACGCTGATTTCAAAAGTGTTATCAGGTCTCAGCACTAATTGATATAGATGTGGCAGTTTATCCTTGAACGGTTCCTCCAAACGATCCCTAACAAGTTAAAAAATAAATTAATGTTGTTGCGATAATACAAAACTAGAGCCGGCAATAAAGTCACCAACAAAGAGTCGAATGCGAAAGGCACAATGCAGATGAATTGCATTTAGCAAATATAAAACGCAGTAGCATAAAGTAAAGATTTAAAATATCGGCTTTTCAAGCAACAACGCCCACACACGGCATGGTAAAATCAATAAAGAACAATATTTAGGGCCACATAAACAAGTAAGTTTCAAACTTGTGATATTAGGGAAATAAATGTGATTAGTGCTTATATCTATATACATACATATACATATATGTATATATGTACATGCCTATAATTTAGCTTTAAAGTTTTTAAGTGGGTGCCGATTGTTGGTTTTTCACAACTTACTTTGGCTTTTTGCAGTGTTTCTCTTCTATGCTTCCGTTAATTGGATTAACGTGACGGAATATGAAATGCAGTTTAATGTCGCTGCCGCATTTATCTGGTCCAAACATAATCGTGTAAGGTGTCTTATCGTTGAACTAAAAGAAAACAACCACACATTCGTTAAATAATTTAAATTTTTGACAAAAGTTATATTGTTATATCTACTTTTGTGAGATCTTCCGTATGTGTTCCATGAGAGAGCAATTTAATGTATGAGCCTCCGCATTCTTGTCCCTCCTGTGTATGAAACAATATAATATTAAAATACTTATATGTAAACACACGTGTGCGTGCAATCATAGTATGTAGTTTGCATGTAATGGAGGGTGAGATAAGTGTCAATATGCTCGTAATCTAATTAGATTACATTAAAACATACATATACATATGTACATAGTTTGTATTACTTTGTCTGACAACTGTTGCCATGAATCTACTGTTTGGAAATGATTTTCAATTACCTGCATAGTTACTTCGTACTGCACTACAAGTGGGTTATCTTCCTTGAAGGTGAATGGCTTGTTGAGCTTTGACGCAATAGCGGCATGCTTAGCCTTAGATTTGAGTACAAGACCAATATCTTTCTTTGATACTATACGTTGTGGTGCCTCCCAGACCCAATTACCGTCGTACTTAGCGATTTCCTCGGCGATATCATCTTTCTTTGCTTGTGATTTTACCCAGCGCTTAGTTGATTCGGCAATGTCATCAAAATGGTCAGCAAAGTAAAATTTGTTCTGGTCATATACTGGACTCTCGTAGACAATTTCCTCCAGTTCGCCATCATCCTACCGTAAACAAAATATATATTATTTTACTAATATCATGAGTACGATCGAACGTTTAAACATAAGACGGCCCTACATTGCGAAGGAATGATTTTTGAATCTAAATATGTATTCCAATATCAAGATTTTACGTTCATACGTTTTTTTTTTTTTTAAATTTTTAACTATATATGCACCTTGCTGTTTAATAAATTAAGTATGTATGCTAAAGCAACTTAATGGTTCCGAAATTGAGGTTATGTTGAAGAAAAGTAAATATAACTAAACAATCTAAGTACTCATACGAACACTTGCATTTGTAATCCGCGCAAAACGCACATTGCTCTTAACACATTGTTTAGAGCCCCCTAATAGCAACAGAGTGCAGAGTAATCTAGCTTCCCGAATACACACATTGTATGACGTGGTATTTTCCGCATGAAAATAAGTAACTAGTATAAATGCAAATGGAAGAGGGTCGCTGCTATTGGCGAAACAGGGGATGTAGTCGAATGTATGTAGTTGAATAGCACACGCTGCAACAACACCTATAATTGTAGAAAAACGTTGCCGGTTTTCTTTATCAGAAATCGTATCACATGCGCGACAGGCATTATTTTAGAACAAAAGTGGCATTCGCTTTTTTTATTGTATTGCTAACTACGGCTAATTGATAGAAATTGATTTTTAAATTCATTGATACTTTGGAACTTACTTGTACATCCTCCACTTTTCCATCCTCTGCAGCGTCATCAGCGAAGTCCTGCTCCACCTCAGATCGCACGATCGGAGAAATTGCCAGAAGCAATATAATAAGCAATGAGCATAAATGCAGCCCCAAATTATTTTTGAACCGCATTTTTTACTCTTCCTCGATCTTAAATTTTTCGGTTCACACACAAAGACACAGCAATATAACTATGATGTAAACCGTGAAATCGATAGATGCGTTTGAAAAAATGTATTCCTTTAATTTTCTAGGAACAAATTAAATTTAATTAACTCCAATTGTATGCTTACTCAATGAACAGCCGCTTTGCTTCGCTTCTAAACTCAATTTCCTTGTCCAATAAAAAAAAATTAAGGGAGAAAGCGTGTAATGAAAGACTAGCCATTGAAAGCTCACCCGCAGAGTTGCATTTTGATTCAAGAACGTCACGAAAGAAAAAGTAATTACCGCTTCAAACCGATTCAACGAGTGTAAATTTTTCACACTGTTGCCAACATTACACACTAAATTTAGTGCTTTTCTTAATTCAGAACACACAAATTTTTGTGTTTGGGGTTGGTGCGTTTTTTTTNTAGCCATTGAAAGCTCACCCGCAGAGTTGCATTTTGATTCAAGAACGTCAAGAAAGAAAAAGTAAATACCGCTTCAAACCGATTCAACGAGTGTAAATTTTTCACACTGTTGCCAACATTCCACACTAAATTTAGTGCTTTTCTTAATTCAGAACACACAAATTTTTGTGTTTGGGGTTGATGCGTTTTTTTGGTGCTTTTCTTTTTAGTTTGAAGACAACAAAACTGTAAATCTGAACAAAAATGGAAGCTAATGTTAGAGAAATTGGATATCTTACAATAATAGAATCAAAATCATGGCACATAACAATTACAAACAAAGGAGCATATGTTTGCCATCGATTACATACGTTAACTTGACATTGCCTGCCAAACCGTCCATGTTGCTGGGACCAGGAATCGAACTTTAGACCTTTAGTTTGGGCTGAATTTGTTCTATTTTTTACGAATATTAAAAATAGCACCATCATCTCCCAACAGTAAAAAAATAACGCGCATTTTTAAAAAGGAATAATAATCTTTTTACGAAAAAAAACAAAAATTTCCACTATACGCCTGTGGCTGCGCCNAGCTAATGTTAGAGAAATTGGATATCTTACAATAATAGAATCAAAATCATGGCACAATAACAATTACAAACAAAGGAGCACATCGATTACATACGTTAACTTGACATTGCCTGACAAACCGTCCATGTTGCTGGGACCAGGAATCGAACTTTAGACCTTTAGTTTGGGCTGAATTTGTTCTATTTTTTACGAATATTAAAAAGAGCACCATCATCTCCTAACAGTAAAAAGAATAACGAGCATTTTTAAAAAGGAATAATAATCAAATAAGACATTTTAAAAAGGAAAATCAAATTTTGTTATCTTTCAGGTGTGAAACAGTCGGAAAGAAAAGGTCTTTACGATCCTTTAGTTCACGAGATCATACAGTGTAGATTTATACTTCCACATAGTTCATGAAACTTCATTTTCTCTTGTTACTTTCATTTGATAGTAATTGTAGAAAAAATTAAACAAAACGAAGAAAAATTAATATTTAAACAGCGCCAATCTAAGCGAAACGGCAATGCTGAACACAATTGCAAATTAGAAAATAGAAACAAAAAATTTTACGTCGCGTTGTTTGGACGAAAATATTTGAATTTATAGAAAGCAGAAAAAATTCGATTGCCGAGCAAGAAAAATTAATTTTTATAAATTTGAATCGGCACACCTACAATACAATTTTGTATGCATACAAAGCCCTTTAAATCCTCTGTAAAAAATATGGTGCTTCTTCGAGAAAAACCGTGACCGTTTTAGTGCTTTTTCCAACGCGATACTTGGCAACACTGATAATTCACCACTCAATTCACCAAACTTATAGCTGAAACACAATACCGGCGAACGGCAAACTTCNGTGCTTTTCTTTTTAGTTTGAAGACAACAAAACTGTAAATCTGAACAAAAATGGAAGCTAATGTTAGAGAAATTGGATATCTTACAATAATAGAATCAAAATCATGGCACATAACAATTACAAACAAAGGAGCATATGTTTGCCATCGATTACATACGTTAACTTGACATTGCCTGCCAAACCGTCCATGTTGCTGGGACCAGGAATCGAACTTTAGACCTTTAGTTTGGGCTGAATTTGTTCTATTTTTTACGAATATTAAAAATAGCACCATCATCTCCCAACAGTAAAAAAATAACGCGCATTTTTAAAAAGGAATAATAATCTTTTTACGAAAAAAAACAAAAATTTCCACTATACGCCTGTGGCTGCGCCCAAATAAGACATTTTAAAAAGGAAAATCAAATTTTGTTATCTTTCAGGTGTGAAACAGTCGGAAAGAAAAGGTCTTTACGATCCTTTAGTTCACGAGATCATACAGTGTAGATTTATACTTCCACATAGTTCATGAAACTTCATTTTCTCTTGTTACTTTCATTTGATAGTAATTGTAGAAAAAATTAAACAAAACGAAGAAAAATTAATATTTAAACAGCGCCAATCTAAGCGAAACGGCAATGCTGAACACAATTGCAAATTAGAAAATAGAAACAAAAATTTTTACGTCGCGTTGTTTGGACGAAAATATTTGAATTTATAGAAAGCAGAAAAAATTCGATTGCCGAGCAAGAAAAATTAATTTTTATAAATTTGAATCGGCACACCTACAATACAATTTTGTATGCATACAAAGCCCTTTAAATCCGCTGTAAAAAATATGGTGCTTCTTCGAGAAAAACCGTGACCGTTTTAGTGCTTATTCCAACGCGATACTTGGCAACACTGATAATTCACCACTCAATTCACCAAACTTATAGCTGAAACACAATACCGGCGAACGGCAAACTTCGCAGATTTTTCAAAGCTTCCGGACATCGTACGTTCAGCTATTTCGCCTACTTCAATAAAGCGTTATAGTGTAAACACATGACGAACAAGTGCGCGCGCATGCTCGCTTGCCGAGCATGTTCGTAAGACTGCGTTTATACACGAAAACTTTTGTCGCCGTAATTTTTCACATTCCCTTTTGGTGTTGCTCGTTTCATATACACACGGCGATTTGTGTGTATACAATTGTTGTTGTCAGCTGTGAACGAGAGCACAAAGCGTGTTGCCAGAGCACGAGCAACTCGGTGCCCTNCTTATAGCTGAAACACAATACCGGCGAACGGCAAACTTCGCAGATTTTTCCAAGCTTCCGGACATCGTACGTTCAGCTATTTCGCCTACTTCAATAAAGCGTTAAAGCGTTATAGTGTAAACACATGACGAACAAGTGCGCGCGCATGCTCGCTTGCCGAGCATGTTCGTAAAAAAAATTTTGATTTTCAGTGAGCATGCTCGTCGTTTGTGGCGAGGTTTACGAACACTGCATTGTNTACAAACGTCGAGTTGCGGCAACAAAAATCGCCGTTTGTAAATGAGCACTAAAAAAAAAATTTTGATTTTCAGTGAGCATGCTCGTCGTTTGTGGCGAGGTTTACGAACACTGCATTGGAAACAAAAACAACAATCTGATTTTAAGTTGATGCCATGATGATGCCATGTGAGTTACTTAAATTTTTGATAAATGAGGCTAAATTAGGGGTCTTCCCTAAAAATCCTAAAAGCCTCGAAACCTCGTAAAAAATTAACGCGAACTCTTAGCCACAGTCAAATTCGACTTTATTAAACCAAACTTTTATCATCTGTAAAACTGCATACCCNACACTGCATTGTAAACAAAAACAACAATCTGATTTTAAGTTGATGCCATGATGATGCCATGTGAGTTACTTAAATTTTTGATAAATGAGGCTAAATTAGGGGTCTTCCCTAAAAATCCTAAAAGCCTCGAAACCTCGTAAAAAATCAACGCGAAATCTTAGCCACAGGCAAATTCGACTTTATTAAACCAAACTTTTATCATCTGTAAAAATGCATACCTAAAATTTTTCTAAAAACTAAATTTTTTTTCTTTAAATATTGGTAAACATTTTGTATAAAACATTTAAACAAATTTTTTATTTACTGAAACAGGAGTATCGACTTTCTTCGAATGCACCTTGCACCAAAAAATTCAATACAACCAAACAAAATCTCAAAAAATTGGGCTCACCTGGTCTCTTGCAAATTTTACAAATTGTTAAAATCTGAAATTTCAAATATTTGAATTGATTACAAAACCTCGGGTTACGAATAATTTTTTCGCAAAATTTTTCTGAAAAGTTTTATTTGCTTTTCTTCTTGTGGTAAAATTCGTAAGGCAAAAACCGAAGGAAAAAGGGATTTTCTTAAACATAAATCCAACAGTTTATGGTAGAGTTCGTATTTTCCCGTGGATACAAATGTATGTTTTTCAGCTGCAGTTTGAAATTAGTAATTTTATCAATGCTTAAGTTTTGGCTTTCCTTTTCTACCGTGACCGCCTGAGAGAGAATACGCCGTCTGAGCTTATCGGAGCTCGGTATAGTTTTTGCGCTCCCACGCACGTTGTAGAAACTAATCGACTTACANCAAATATTTGAATTGATTACAAAACCTCGGGTTACGAATAATTTTTTCGCTAAATTTTTCTGAAAAGTTTTATTTGCTTTTCTTCTTGTGGTAAAATTCGTAAGGCAAAAACCGAAGGAAAAGGGATTTTCTTCTAGTTAAACATAAATCCAACAGTTTATGGTAGAGTTCGTATTTTCCCGTGGATACAAATGTATGTTTTTCAGCTGCAGTTTGAATATAGTAATTTTATCAATGCTTAAGTTTTGGCTTTCCTTTTCTACCGTGACCGCCTGAAAGAGAATACGCCGTCTGAGCTTATCGGAGCTCGGTATAGTTTTTGCGCTCCCACGCACGTTGTAGAAACTAATCGACTTACTTGCCCACTTTCCATTTGCATTGCGAATAGAACGTTTCTAATCATTAATTGAAATAGAATAAAATGAAGGTATCGAGAATAGCCTAAGATCAGCAAAGCTAAATAAATTTTCAGTCTACACCTGTACAATGAAATTACAGATTTTTAATTTTAATATATTTCCAAATACAACTAACACCCTCATTCTAGAACCCGAATTTTCATAATTCGTAATTCATAGCTACGTTAGGAAAAATCGATATGAAAAATGTGCAGCATTACCAGCTATAAGTTGTTTACGAAGTCAGCTGTATTGCCATCGTCAGAATGGGTACTTTGCGTATACTTGCTACAATCAACGCTTGGCAACGAATGCTTTGAGCACTAGATTTAAATACTAACGACAGATAAATTAATATTTCATATCAATAATTGCATGATAAATGATATTTTTTACCTACATTTGATTAAAAATTAAAAGTATTTCAC